TGATACGGAGAAATGCTGTAAATGTTTGATAGAACTTTTCCTGTGTTCTTAATACAAAATCAGGATTTTAAATGATGAATAATTTTACTATTTCAGCAGATAGTCAGGGATTTATCTGATTCTATATTGAAATGGTAGCAGTATTTGTATCCTTATTTTATCAATACTTAAAATGTGCTCCTTGTATACAACTTTGTGAGGATTGGGTGTCTGCTTGGGTGTTATTTTTTTAATGTGTGATATTTATCTAGCATCCAGTAAAATATGTTGTTTATTTTCCCAATAAGGGGATATAGTTGGTTGATAACAGACATTTAATTTCTTCTGAATAAGCTCAGCTTCTGTGATTTCTGTACAATAAAAACAGAGCATTTGAATTTGCTGTTGAAAAATCATATGTGTTTACTTAGTTTTATGGCCTTGCTTCATATAAGCACGTTCATTAGAATTCATGTGTTGAAAGATATCTGTGAACAGTAATTCATGCAAACATCATTTTTGACCGAATTATTTGCAAACTAAACGTTACTGGGTGAATTTTTTCCCAATATTATTGTAGGCAAATAAATGATTTTGTAAATTGAAATTTGAAAAACAAAATGCATCCAGAAATTAAACTTTGAAACCTAAAAAAGGTTTAAAAGTAAATCAGTTTTCCTTTTCTATTTTTTTTTATATTTCGCTTTTTTATGTTTTCTCTCTTTTTTCTTTTTTTCTTTTCAATTTTTTCTTTTATTTTTTTGGAATTCTTTTTCATATTAAATTTAACAAACTGCATTCGTTTCAAATAGCGTTTTAAAGATCATATTTTCTTCACTTCAGAGGGCGAGCTTTCCTCTGGATTGAGGAGGAAAGACACTTTTTATTGGTCTGCATATGAACATCAAAATATTTTTATTGGTCAAGAGCGATTATATCTGGCTTGAAGAAGAGAAAGTTATCTGTAAAACTCATTTTGAAAGGAATTCCGTTTATGAAACTGAATTTGAAAAAAAAAAAAAATCTGTAAAAAAAAAAAAAGATAAAATAAAAGAAATAAAATATGAAATAAAATGGAACAAAAGTAGAGAAAGTACCGTCTGAAAATTTACTCCCAAAACCACTTTTTTTATTAAGAAGTTTTTTCATATTTCCATTTCCATTTGCTTGCAAAATTATTGGAACAAAATTCACTCCATAATATTTTCCCTCAGGATTCTTGCTTCAGTTTTCATCACCTTATGGATATAAGGCATTCCCTTCTAAGTAAATAACTGATGCTACAGCTAATCGCATACATGATGTGAACAAGCTGCTGAACTACTGTTATTTTCTTATACTGGTTCTCATCAGGCAGCCTTTTTGAAATAAACCAGAAAAACTTCCCTGCAATGTGGCAGAATCTGTTAAAGGCTCCGGAGGCTCAACATAAAGCTGTAATTTAAATTTGGGAAACTTTTTTTAATTTTCTAACTTTTTTTTTAGAAACATGTACAACTGGTTTAAAATAGCACATGGAACAGCAGGTGGATCATTGATAAAAGCCAGTATTTTTCTTTCATGTATTCCTGTAGGTGCAGTAGCCCAGTATGACCAGCAGAGGGACACAATGAGCTACCAAAGACATTTGGGAGATGCATGGTTCTAAAACCTGCTTGCTTAAATGCATCTGGTGACATAATGCATTAGATTTGTTCTTACCATGAAGTCAGTTTTATTTTTCATTGTTTTATTTTGATATAACGTGTTTGGAATGTAACTCCTTCTGCACAGTGTTTTCCTTTTCCTGCAAGGCTTCAGCTATTCCTACTTTTATGACAATGATCACCAGAAACTCTCTGCCTCTGTAAAAACTACAGAAATCTGAGTAAAGCCAACATGCGGTGCCCCTTACCGGCTTATAATGATGGGAAATGATTAAAGGAGCATATACCTTACTTCATTATAGAGTGGGATAAAATAATCGAAACCATTAAAGGGGGAAATTTAAACAGAAACATAAAAAATCAGTTGCTAACAGATGATTATTGTTGCTGTCACTGTCAGAATGTTCATCATAACAACTGGTGTCAAATTCTGACTCAAACACACATAGATTAATCATTTTAGCTTAAATTGAACATAAATGCTGCAGAAACTATTTTAATTCTGTAAAAAAAAAAGCGAGTCAAATTCACACGATCCACAGGAATGGACCGGCCATTAGGCATACTGTATGCTCAACAGCTTAGCTGTGCTGGAGCAAGGAAACCTCTAAAACCTGCAGGATAGCGGGCCTCGGGGACCGAGGTTGGGGACCGAGGCTCTAAACCACAACCAAACCCTGACATCATAACTTATGTATTAAACAACCAGGTGACATGACAACAGAAATTGTAATTTTGCTTTGCTCTTTAGAGAATGGCAGCTACTCACCTCTGGGCTCACTTCTCAGGATTAACAATTAAAAAGGCATTTTATACATCTCCAGTCTGCTACATCATCACATCATTACCTCATTACATCATACACTTTAGCAGATGAGGAGACATCCGTGGCTCCAGCCATATCAAAATATTACCCATTGTTCTTAGCTGAAGGATGCCACTCTCATTTTATTCCTAAATCTTTGCCACATTCTGTCAGAGTCTTGGTCTGTTTGTTCCTGTTTTTCTTGGTTTTCCATTTGTTGTCCTCTGCTGCCCTCTTGTGTCCTCCCTCGCTCTGTTTTTCTGTTCTGCCTGCACCTGTTTTCAATTCCCTCGTTAACTCTCTCTCTGTCTCTGTCCCCTTTAAAAGCCCTCCTTCTTCAGTTCCTGTTTGCTGGATCCGCGTCTATCATCTGCCTGCCTAGTCTCGTCTCTCCCTGGCTCCTTGAGTTTTGGTTTTCCCCCGATGTCTCCTTGGTTCTGGTACGTTTGTTATTTTCAGTTGGACTCTGATTCCTGCCCCTGGATCTGTGAACCTAAATAAACGGACTTTAATTCACCTCTACCTACTGGTCTCTGCATTTGGGTCCTCCTAACAAACACCGCTTCATGACACATTCAGAATGAAGATTATAACTGTATATCCGGACAGAGGAACTGTCCTAATCAGATAAACTACTTTGGAAAACATCAGTTCTGATTCATTACTAACTTGAAATCAACGTATTATTGATTTATTTATTTTTTTGGATGGAAAGAATTAAATGCTAAAATAAAAGATTAAGTAAAATTATATTTATTTTATCAGTTATTGTACATTTCACTTTCAGACAATCAATACTTTAGACTGAGAGGGGATTCTTTGTAAGACAAAATGCCCAAAAAGGGTAAACAAGTCAAAAAAGGTTGGAAAAACAACTGCTCTACATCAGGAATCTAAAAAAAAAAATGTCACACACAGAAACCAGCTGTTAAGAATAACATACAACATACTTTCTCTCACCTTAATGGGAAAATAATCCCGCATGTGCTTCCAGAGTTTAAGGCCGCACAGAAAGGGCGCCCTGCGGCCTCCGCGTGCCGGGGTGTCATAGTCATAGTACCACCAGACGGCGTAGAGCACGCTGATCAGCCAGAAGCGAGTGAAGAGAAGGTAGAAGAACAGCAAAATGCAGGTAGGTGCTGAAGAGGAACAAGATTGACATGATGAGCAAACTGCAACACAAGAAGCCCGTCTTATAGTAGAAACACTCATTGCTCTGGATGAAACAATTCAGGTTGTGATATGAGGATGAAATAATCTGCATAAACAGTATTTATTCAAAAGCTGGTTTCTGCATTGAGGAAGTTTATCTTTCTTGATAAAAAGTAAAAAGAAAGACAAATGGCCAAAAAAGAAAGAAATTAATTTTGTGTGATTGTGTTGCAGAAGTGGAAGCCAGAAATTTGAATTTGAAACACTTCTTAGTCAAAGAAAAGGTTTTAATTTTTTTCAATAAAATTTTTATTTGCAGATTTTATATTTTCATATGTATGTTTTGTAGACTGAGTTTTACACTTTGCATTCTTTTGAAATTTTACAAATTATATTCTAGTGTTGCACCGACACCAGTATCGGGCAGGACTCCAATCCAGCCCTAAAATGGTGGTATCGGTATCAGTGAGTACCAACAAATAGGGCACTGATACCATTTAGAGAGCCAAAAGTTTATTTAACTATTGTCACTCATTCCAGGGAGGCAATAAAAAGTTCTACTGGATTCACTTTGTATTAGTCTTTTTCCTGCTTCACAAAGTGAAGTGTCAGCTTGACAAAGCCTTGATGGCAATTATTTTACATCCAAGTAGGATGTACCGTAGTTCTTCATATACAGACACACATCAATTTCAAACAGATGGTATCGGTATGGTATTGGCCAATACTGCACAGCCAGGTATCGGGTATCGGTATCGAGGCCAAAAAATGGGATCGGTGCAACACTATTATATTCTCTTGACTTTAAGCAAGACAAGCACTCATTCTTGACCATAAAATGTTACTGAAAATGCTTCTTCACTCCTGTCTCCAGAGGAAAGCCTCTCCCAGAAGTAAAGAGAATGTTACATATTAAACACAGTTATTAAAGAATTCAATGTCTAAAACTTAATCTGAGAGAAAATAAAAAAAAACTAAAGAAAAAAAAATCAAAAATCAGGATAAAACAGGCAACTCTCAATGAGTTTATCAAAGTTTTTTTCTGAATGCCATTTATTCGAATTATGATATGATTTTGCAATAATACTGGAACAAATAAACTCCTTAAGGACGAGGCTTTTCTGTCTGGTCTCTCTTTACTGCAGGATACATCATTATGGCCCAAATCTGGAGGCTATAAGCAGCCATTCAAATCAGTTTTAACAGCATACATCAGGAACATGAAACCATTCATCTCTAAAAGATTTGAACAAATCAAATTTTATATAAAACTTGGTGTAACTAGAAAAACAACAAAACAACAGCATTTTGTTGTGTTTTTTTGGATTTTCCCACAAACCTGCTGCAGTCTGGATTAGAACAGGATCCAGTTCAGGCCTACTGACTGTTTTTCTTTTTTTTATCTACACCCCAATACATTTACATCTATGCTGGTCTGTCGCATAAAATCCTGATAAAACCAGCTGCTTGTTGTTGTAACATCATAACTGTAACTTTTCTGTAACTTTTACTTTTTTCAAACAAGTGTATATATTTTACAGGATGCTGAAGTCATATTTGGCTGTCAGGAATTAGTTAAATATAGAAATATTTACATTTAGTTCATCAAAGAAGTGAATTCCCACAGATTCAGATCACATTCAGTTTAAAAAAATTAATTTAATTAACCATTTTTTTTTTTACAAGTGTGTCTTCTCTTCATTTGAGCAGGTAAGTAAGACATGATTTATGTTTACAAAAGGAAAAAAAACAACCTCATTATATTATTTCAAGTACATTATATCTAAATTTGAACCCCAGTGTCCCTCGGCAGATGGCCGCTCACCCTGAGCCTGACTCTGCAGGAGGTTTTCTTCCTGTTAAAAGGGAGTTTTTCCTCTCCACTGTTGCCACAAGCATGCTTAGTGTGAAGCATTGCCTTCGAGTCAATGCAATCAACTGGTTATCTAGAAAGCTTTTGAATGCTATGATCTGGTTGAAAAGTGCCTTCAGATGACATGTGTTGTGAATTGGTGCTAGATAAATAAACTATTAAATTAAATATATTATTCTAAGGGTAGAAATACTCATTCTTCAGGCAGATCATCATATTCCCCTGCTTAAATTAAAAACAAATAATTTTAAGAAAATGAAACCTATTTTCAGATCAGTTGTTGCAGTGTTGGAATTCTACTGTTTAGTTGAAGCAAATCATTTTAATGTAGCATACATTCATGTAAGAATCTCTTTTCTAGCATTAGATGCTAATTTGTTGATACCCTGTTAACGGGTTATTTAAGGTATAAATCTGATTTCAAACAAACGTTGTGTTTATCTTCATTCTCCTTGTATCCCCCTTCATCCGGGGACTGGGTCGCGGGGGCAGACTCCAGACTTCAATCTCCGCAGACTCCCCGGGGCGCTCCCAGGCCAGCTGAGAGACAGAGTCCCTCCATGTTGTCCTGGGTCGTCCCCTGGGCCAGAGCATGAAACGGGCCTTGAAAGTCAGCCCGAAACCGACCCGAGTCCGAAAGAACCAGGCCCGTGCCCG